CGAAAGTTTAGGAAAAGTTTTCAAATTAATATTATTTTTCCATGGAAAACTTTTTGCGCCATTTTGTTTCAAAATTTTTCTTAAACTTTCGGAAGTACCCCGGGCCAAAAATAGAAAATCTTCTGGGCTATCGAGTGTGATGAATACGAAAAACCACTTTTCAGCAACTCTAAACCAACTTTATTTTTTTTGTTCCAGTGATATGTTTTTCACAAACGCGGTTATAAAACATTTGATTGTAGAAAAAATTGCGTTGAAACGTTCTTTTACGCCACAGAACATAAAGGTGAAAATAATTTTGAAAAGCGTTTTCTTGCGTTTTCTTTTTAGAACGTTTCGGAACACATCTATCTCTTCGAGATGTGCTTTTTCGTTTTACCTTACAAGAAAACGCATCTTTTGCCGTTTCAAAATGTAAAGACGAAGGCAAAAGTTTTTATCTTATTTTTTCTGCTTTTCCTGTTCTGGCTTGTTCAAATTTTTGGTCCATTTAGTCCCTAAAGGAGATAAAAATGCCCCAATGCGTACTTTTTTATCGTTTAATTGGTTAAAGTAGTTTGCATACCGATGTTAGTTCTGATTACATGCAGAAAGCAGCTAATAACATCTTTTATTTTCAGCGGGATGATAGAGCTCTTCCTCAGTAATGGTGGACGTGACTAATGGTGGCATTTAAAAATTTTCATCATGGTTTTTTGGGGTTTTTTCAGAGTCCGGGTCTCTAGAAAACTCCTAAAAATCTGGACTTTTGAAAATTTTCCGGTCTTATAAGAAAGAGCATGTAAGAAACCCTACCGAGGCTTTGTTTTGAGTCAAGTAAAACTGAGTTAAACCAAATGTCCGTCTGCCTACGGAAAATTGCCCAGTGTAAGATCCACTCTAGGAAAGCCTATGATCACAAAACGGATATCAAAATGATTTTAAATGTGACGAACGATGAGATGTTTTTTCTTGGCTATCATGGTATGTGATAAAATTTTTTATAACGTTTCAGTTAAATTAGGCTTCGAAATTAATTGATAATTTCTTGTTTAAGATTAATTAGATACTTTCGTGTTAATAGTATGTCAGGATGATTACGTCGAAGAACTCGTTCTTGTATTCTCAATCCTTTTATGTAATAATCAAATGCTTGAAGATATTCATGTTTATAATTGTACATCTGTCCAAGATGAACGAAAAGCTTCCCGCCTTCAGAAGATTCTAACGAACCATTTTGTGTGTGGATATTCAAAGCTTTGTTTAAATAATCATACGCCTGTGCATAATTCGATTGATGCGTATATACATTACCAAGATGTATGAATGTAGAAGACAACGATATAGAATCAATTTTCTCCACGTGTTCTTTGATCTGCAATGCTTTCAAATGGTAATTTAATGATTGATCATAATCATTTAGTCCGGCATAAGCTAGGCCCATATTATCAAGAGTAGTGCCAATTTCAGGATGAATTTCAGGTAAACATTTTTCGTAGATACGTAATGTTTTTTGATAATAGATTAATGATTGTGAATAATCATGTTTATTATCATACATGAGACCGACATTATTTGAACTAATACCAATATCCATATGGTCATCCGGCAAAACGTTTTCTTTCATATTTAATGCTTTCAAAAAATAATCAAGTGCTTGATCGTACTTTCCACTTCGATTATAAACACGTCCAATATTATCAAGTGTAACAGCCATTTCGGGATGTCCATCGGGCCATGTTTGCGTGTGCAATGTTAAAGCTTTGTTAAGGTATTTCAATGCTTGTTTAAAATTAACTTTTGCCTGTTTGGTTACACTACTGTTTGAAGCTTTGTACATGTACGTCAAACCAATATTATTGAAAATCGACGGCGTTATTTGTTCTTTTAAAGCTTTTCGAAAATACTCTAATGCTCGATCATAATCATTGTTACATATATGAATACAGCCAATATCGTCTAAAATAGCTGCTAGCATGGATTTACTAGGTGAACTTTTATTCGCCTCTTTATCATAAGCTTGCTTTAACTTGTTTAAACCTTCTTCATATTCTCCTTGACATTTGTGTATATAAGCAAGATTATAAAAAATGTTTGCATAATCTTGATTATTCAACTGAATGAGATCGTGAAAATAATTACGAGCTTTTTCATATTGACCAATAATGATCAAAACTTCGCCGAGTATACCACTAGATGTCGTACTTCTTATTTGTTCTTTATAATAATTAAGATAATGTTTAATCATTTCATGACCTTTATCTGTTGCTAATAATCGAATAATCCAATTCTCTTCTTTTTCATCATATTCGACAGCCGCTATATCAAATGTTGTTCCCAAATCAAATAAAACTTCTTCTTCATCCTTCATTTTACTTGCATATGAAATATCGGAATAAATCGATTTGAGGTCCGCTGGAATTTCAATTTGAAAAATGACGGCATGCAAATCACCTCGCCGTTTGCATTTGATAATACCACTACCAGCATACTTTTTTGCGACGTTTCGATTACGACTTGTAGATAAAAAACTATTTGCCGATACTAAATGTCTAATATTTTGCTTAAGATTGTCTATATCATTGTATGCCATTTGCATGCCACGGTAAACTTCCGGTATTTGAATTTCGCATTCAACAATTATCTTATGATCTTCAACAAGATTTGAACATAAATCAACAATAAAAAAACGGAAGGTGTATAGAACTTCAATATCTTCACTTCTCAAAGCTTTATTAATCAGTTTATAGACGAATGTGTCACTTGTATACCATTTGATTGCGTCTGCCGATTTATAATCCATTTCAAAAGCAGCAATATTTCTTAGTTGTGCTTTATTTCTACGGTAATACTCACGACATTTTTGTATCATCAGTGTTCTGGCATCTTCCTGACTATTGTCATCTTGTTGAGACGTATGAGTATTATCAATAAGAATGTGTTTAAATAATTGAGGCCATAGAAATGCTGCTGATTTTTCGTTTAAATTAGCCAATGATTTTTGTTTATGATTATATAAATTAAATAATTCTGAATGTCTTGTCAACTCAAGAATTGTTTTTCTAATATTATCAATAAGATCTTCTTGTGTGATAACAATAGCTAATAGTTTATAATATTGTTCCATGAGTGATGCTGATGTTGATGGTTCAATAGTGCCATATACAAATATAGAATCAATTTGACGAAGTGAATGTATTTCAGTGGATAAAATGTCAGTTACAAATTTATTAGATATAATTAAAAGAATTTTTTCTTTAATATTCACTGATTTTATATAATCAACGCATTCATTTTTTAACGAGAAAAATAAGCAGAAATCATTAATTTCACGAAGATTAGATCGTAGTTCATCGTGTTGATTTTCATGAACATTCTTATCATACCAAACCACTATAAAATCTTCTTTATTTTTGCGATTTCTAGCCTCGGGAGTATAAGGCAAACTCATGTCTGTCTGATCCTAGAAAGACAAAGTGCATTCAGATGCCTTTATACTGGAAAAGACTAGATGGTCGTACTAAAATCTATGCGAGAACTAAAGTATATTTACACAGACGTTCTCTTTTATTAAATTCCTGAGCGCCGTTGGAAAATTATAACTTTTTAGGGTGGGTCTATTGTCACTTACACAAGTGTCAACTAGAAGCTATTGCCACTTACCGACGCAGCACCAAGCAGCTATTCTCACTTACAAGAGGTGTCAATAAGTAGCTATTGCCACTTCCAGTAGAAAGTCTCAATAAGCGGCTATTGTCACTTGTAGTAGCAAGTGTCAATAAGTAGCTATTGCCATTTCCAATAGAAAGTCTGGAATATACGTTACCTTCTTCTTATATCTGTAGCTTTTAGCTGACAATGACATCTAGGGCTTTACTGGTAAATTCACGAACCCGAAGACCTTGTGACATTTCTTAACCCAAGATCTTGGCCAGGATCTTGGGTACAAGAAGTTCCACTAGGGAAGTGTCAATAAGTAGCTATTCCCACTACCAGTGGAAACTGTCAATAAGTAGCTATTCCCACTTCCAATAGAAAGTCTGGAATATACATCACTTTCTTCTTATATCTGTAGCTTTTAGCTGACAATGACATCAAGGGCTTTTCTGGTAAATTCACGAACTTGAAGAATTGTCGGCGAAAATGTTTGTGTGGCTTTTCACTATCTCGATATAGTGGGTATCTCATGATTTTACACATAGTTTTATTCGCGTTGTTTTTTCTTTTTCTTTTGAAGTCGTCAGATAGTTTCTAGTCTTTAATCTACTTCCTTATATCCTTCTGCATATTTATTGTCGTTGATCATTCCTTATCTCTATTTATGTTTTATTCAAATATCTATCGTCACATCCAGTAGAAAGTGTCAATAAGGAGCTATTGTCACTTCCAGTAGAAGGTGTCAATAAGAAGCTATGGCCACTTCCAGTAGAAAGGATATAATATACATTAGTTTCTTCTTGTATCTGTAGCTTTTAGCTGACAATGACATCAAGGGCTTTTCTGGTAAATTCACGAACTTGAAGAGTTGTCGGCGAAAATGTTTGTGTGGCTTTTCACTATCTCGATATAGTGGGTATCTCATGGTTTTACACATAGTTTTATTCACGTTGTTTTTTCTAAAGTGCATTCACTATTAAGTGGCATCATTCTAACAAGACACGTGAGTACATTGCGCCTTGTCCTCTTTCTTTTGGAGCAGGAAGATTTTAATATTAGAAATCAGTGGTCCGAGAACGAAAATTTCTTTTTCGCATGAAAATACACCCAGACAATTGACCTTTGATTTTTTAATGTACTCATCTGCTGTTAAATGGTTGTGTTCATCTTTTCCATAATTAGTATAATTTTGAAGACGGATCTGACTGATAACTAAATTGCGAAATTCTGCATGATATTCTTCACTCCCGGTCAGTGTATAACTCAGACCCCTAAAACACGCAGAAGAAGAGAACTATTTTGTAGATAAACTTGCAAGAGAGGTTTCGTCAGCGAACTGCGAACAGTCAGAACGTGGTGAGTAAAACTTTTTCATCTGATTATTAGAAAAAAGCATGAAAACATTTTAGGCGTCAATACTTAGCTACTACAGAGTGAAGGCACTTTTAGTAAATAGCTTTTGAAAAGCAGCAGTAACTTTCAGCGAATATTTCATTTGAAAGGCCAGTAATCAGATTTACCATGGTAAATTCAGCTGTGCAAAGTCCGAAAGCTGTCCATATCCAGGCAAAAAACGGATTTTTAATTTCGGAATGTTGTTTTTATCTTCTAACGTGTTCTTTGTGAAACTGCGCAAGCCCCGTCTCTCTATCTCTTTTTGCTTTGAGAGGTACAGACATTTTTCGAACCATGGTAGACCTGATCTGAAGGCCTGATGTTTCCACAGTTACACTTGCCATCATCTCCTCAATCGGATCCTGAAAACTGCATGGTTCTAGTTCGTACCGTTAAAAGGCTACTCAAAAAATATCGATAACCATTCTGTTTATTGACGGATAGTAGAAACTCTTTGTTTTCTACGGGTAGCAGTATTCTAAGCGTGCAAGCTCCTACTATACATGCCGTTGCTTCTTGCCCCATGAACTGTGTAATTTCTTTAACTCGTTGAGGCGTTCGTAAAATTCAGGTGTACCTAATTGAGTTAAATAATTATTTATTACATGGAATTGATTCCAAGATAATCGATTCTTATCTGCCACTGTCAGCACAATACCAGTTTCACATTGAGTCATCGATGACTTTTCATCATTATCGAAGTCTGATTGATTATCTGACCAAGTACCATCATCAGCATCACTTTTGTTTGTCCTTGTTATGCTGTTCATTTGTTGAATAGGATCAAATGAAATGTTGTTGACAGTTGAATGCCGCAACCACCTTGGAGCTATCAACATATCATCAACCTTGAATTGATCAATATGTTTCATACAGAATAAGAGATGAAGACACGGTAAAGACATAGTGCAATTATAATAACAAGAGCAAATACGAAGCGATTTGTTAATTTTGTACGTTTTATTTGTCGATAAATTCTGAATCAATATTATGTTTTCCTCATTAAGCAAATCGGTAGAAGAAATTTCTAATTTTGCTTTATCCATCAAGATCAACTGATTATTGACAAACTTGCAGGAAATCTATATACGAAAATAAAACACCTTCTAATAGACTAATGGAAAAAATAGACTAATGGAACTTTGGGACAACAGAATTAGAAAGTAGCATTATCGATAGATATTGCTCACCGCTCAGTATTCTTCCACATTGCTCAATAAATTCGGGATACTTTGAATTGACAATACAAAACGACGTTAACTCTTGCCGAACAATGTTATAATTTTGTACAATTGACTTAAATCGTAACAGTGACATTAATATTGTTAATGCTTCGGCAATAGGCGGAATTTTGGATCTCTCGTGAAATTTACGTTTAACGGTTCTATAAAAACTTTCTATTCTGTTATTTGTGTTATTCAAATAAGTCAAATTTTGTTTACGTTTATAGAAAATCCAGAGGTCGGTACAAGATAGCCAGTTCTCACGAAAATAAGGCCAATATTCGGTCATCGACGAAGCAGTTTCTAGCATATAAACATTGATGGCGAATACAGTTACATTATCCGAATAAATAATATTTTTCTATAATTTAAGAATTTCCCGTTTACGTTCAATACTGATAGCTAATTTAGCGATGTGTTCTTTGAGTTTTTTGATAACATGAAAATAACAAAGTAGTGCGGTTGATGAGGGGAAAACTTCTTGTATCATCGATAGTTCGTTAAAATCTTTATCGATAAAAAATGTCTGGATAATATCATGATTATCATATGTTGTTTTAAATTTTAAAAGCAATTCTCGTATGTTTTCTTGCAATTCATTCGCCAAAAAGCCAATACCACCTGGTTGACCTACGAAAAATAAAGAAACCGCAAAATGTATTAATGCGAATGGTCTGTCCAGCGCACTTTTTAGCGCCGAAATATTGGAAATATGGGAAGGGTCTTAAAATAGGGAAAATGTTGAATTTTTCTCCTTTTTACGGAGACCTCGTCCCAAACAGCTATCCAGTTTTTTTTGATAAAGATGGAACCTTCATTCTTGCGCCATTTGATCGCCCTTTATCCTTACTGCAAAAATATAACTCGGTTTTTTTGAAATTTCTCTCGGTTACTGATAAATTTTACTTTTGCTAAATCAGGAGCGAAAAAATTGGAATTCTGCCCGTAATTCTCAATTTTCTCCACCAGAACTCATTTTTTATGCAATAAAAGGATCATATTCGGAGTCAGCGTCAAAAACTCAATCGAATGGCCTACCATTTTTTCCTATCCGTCGACTTTTATTTTCCGTTCATTAACTGTGGTGCCGTAGAAAGGTATATTTGCACACACACACACGTGAATTTACCAGAAAAGCCCTTGATGTCATTGTCAGCTAAAAGCTACAGATATAAGAAGAAAGTGATGTATATTCCAGACTTTCTACAGGAAGTGGCAATAGCTACTTATTGACACTTCCCTAGTGGAACTTCTTGTACCCAAGATCCTGGCCAAGATCTTGGGTTAAGAAATGTCACAAGGTCTTCGGGTTCGTGAATTTACCAGAAAAGCCCTAGATGTCATTGTCAGCTAAAAGCTACAGATACAAGAAGAAACTAATGTATATTATATCC